AAAAAAAAAAAAAAAAAAAGAAAGAAAGAAAGAAAGAAAAATAAAAAAGAAACTGAGGCAGAGGGAGATGGAGTGAATCACTTGTCTAACACCACACAGTAAGTGGTGGAGCCAGGATTCCAATCAAGACAGCTTGGCGCAGGGCCTTTGGTCTGGCTACTCCTCTGTAGTACATCTTAACAGAGTAGGCAGGTCCTAGTAAAATTCCCTCCTTCTAAGGGAAGTCCCACACGCCCTCCAGAGACCCCACACGTGGCAGGAGAACCCAGCAGCCTTCCAGACATGCCCAGCGAAGTAGACTCCAATCTGGCTGGTTCAAAGTTTGACTCTGGTTCTGAGACCCAGATTCCACAAGCAGCGAAGCTTTTTGGCAGGTGCACAGTTAATTTTCTTTATAGCTGGGTGCTTTCAACTTGCTGGGTGGGCAGAAGAGAAATGGTCCTGGTCCCCCAACAAATTCAGCCAATGAGAAATGATTTTCACTGTTAGGCAAGGGCAAGAGTTCATATACCTTCGCTGGCTAGATTCAAGGAATTCAGCTAGGGGAAAAAATGCCAACAGATCTTGTGTGAAGCTTCTCCCCTCGCTATCTGGGCTGGCGGCAGAGCCTTGGCAAGCACTTCCTTGGATTCTCCGGAGGCCTCTGCCAGTTCAACTGACGGGGCAGCAGATGGCACACACTTCTCTGCTGATGATATTTTGATTTATTTATCTCTTACAGATGGTACCATGCCTTGATTTCTGGCAGGAGCCCAAAATGCAGGTCAACTTTCTGGGGATAATCGTTTCTACAAGTGGATGAAATGCTGAAGACTAAAGCCCCGCCTGGCATCGTGAATGCAACGCCATGGCCTCCAGAGATATGCTGCTTGGGCATCGGGGCATCTTGGATAAATCAAGAGAAGAATTTTGTTCCCAAGCATATTAAAGCTGAAGAAGTCAAATGTTTATCTAAAATTAGAATTATACTGATTAAATGTAAGAGATTTAAACTCACAGAGTCCTGAGTTCAAGTCCCAGCTCTGCCAAGTACCAGCTCCGTGACCCAGGGGTCAGACTCTCTAGGTCTTAGTTTCCACATCTGTAAAATGGGTATAATTGTCACCTCTACCACATAAGGTAGTATCCACTAAAAGAAGTGATACTGCTTTGGTAGTGTGGAGTTATGGCTAAGAAGTAGCTGCCCTGGCTCATGCCTGTAATTCCAGCACTTTGGGAGGCTGAGGAAGGAGGATCACTTGAGGCCAGGAATTTGAGACAGTCTGGGCAACATGGCAAGACCTTGTCTCTACAAAAGATTAAAAATGGACCGGGTGCAGTGGCTCACACCTGTAATCCCAGGACTTTGGGAGACCGAGGTGGGCAGATCACGAGGTCCAAAGATCGAGATCACCCTGGCCAGCATGGTGAAACCCTGCCTCTACTAAAAAAAAAATACAAAAATTAGCTGGGCGTGGTGACTCATGCCTGTAGTCCCAGCTACTTGGAAGGCTGAGGCAGGAGAATCGCTTGAAGCTGAGAGGCGGAGGTTGCAGTGAGCCGAGATCATGCCACTGCACTCCAGCCTGGTGACAGAGTGAGACTCTGTCTCAAAAAAAAAAAAATTAAAAATGAGCTGATGTGGTGACACGCACCTATAGCCCTAGCAGCTCAAAAGGCTGTGGTGGGTGGATTGCTTGAGCCCAGGAGTCCTATGCCCATAGCATAGATAACCCTCATCAAGATGCTTACTAGCATCCTCAGTGGTCATGAGTTTTGCAAGAAAGTCTGAGGCGTGACCAGCTACGCATGTTTTATCCTAAAAGTTTGCTAGCAAAATGATACGTTTTTGGAGGTCAGTGTGGAAATCCACTGTTGCACGGCCTCAACACACCACTTCTGTTCGTAAGTCCCTATGAATGTTTCCCTCTGAGAAACAGGATTTGTCAGCCTTTCTATGGCCATATATCCTGTAGAAGCAAGAGCCAAATAAACCTTTCTTCTTTGTAAATTACCCAGCTCCCTCCGCCCTTTTGCATAGACTGCTCACTGTAGAACATGTAGCAATCCAGCCAGGAGCTGAGAGACCAAGAAACAGACAGAGGGAATGAAGCCTCCATGGGGGACATCCCAGGCTACGCAGCCACTTCTATGTGGAGCAGTGCGGTCACCTTTTGGACACTTTTGGACCATGACGTGAGTATCAGGATGCCCCAAAAATGCCAGGATCAGTGCTTCTGTGGGTTGCCCATTGGATGACGGAAGTCCAGCTAGCAACAGATGTAAAAGTAAAATGGCTTGAGGCGGAATTATAATTGGAAAAAAGATTTTTGTTTTTTTTGGAGCTCTACAATCAGAAGTCAGCTTAATTAAAAGCTAATATTCAGGCCATAATTTTTTTCAAAATGGGGAAGGCCTTTATCCTGTTTCTGGCACTTTTTTTCAGTTAACTGAAACGCCTTTTTAAAAATTATGTTTGATCCCTCTGTTTGGTGTCTTACTTGTTGGTATAATTTTGATTTTTTTTCCTTTTTTTTTTTTTTTGAGACAGTATCTCGCTCTGTCACTTAGGCTTGAGTGCAGTGGCATAATCATGGCTCACTGCAGCCTTGACCTCCCAGGATCAAAGTATCCTCCTGCCTTGGTCTTCGGAGTAGCTGGGACTACAGGCACACGCCACCACGCCCAGCTAATTTTTGTATTTCTTGTAGAGATGGGGTTTTGCCATGTTGGCCAAGATGGTCTCAAACTCCTGGCCTCAAGCAATCTTCCGGCTCCAGCCTCCCTAAATACTGGGATTACAGGCATGAGCCCCTGTGCCTGGGTCTTGTTAGCGTGATTTTTGCTCTTGCTCTTCCATTTCCTTCCACTTCTGCTCCTCCTTCCTTTTGCCATCTTTGATGCTACATGAATGAATCTAGAGGAGGCTTCCTGGCCCCTGAGACCCTGATAGAGTCTGGATGTTTGTCCCCTCCAAATCTCATGTTGAAATGTGACCTCCACTGTTGAAGGTGGGGACTGATGGCAGGTGTCTGGGTCATGGGGCTAGATTCCTCATGAATGGCTTGGTGCCATCCTCGTGGTAATGAGGGAGTTCTTGCCATTAGTTCGCTCAAGAGCTGGTTGTTTAAAATAAGCCCGTACCTCCTGCCCTCTTTCTCTTGCTCCCTCTCTTACCATGGGCCACGCTGGCTTCCCCTTCACCATCCGCCACGATTGGAAGCTTCCTGTGTTCTCACCAGAAGCAGAAGCTAACACAATGCTTTCCGTATAGCCTGTAGAAGCATGAGCCAAATAAACCTTTTTCTTTGTAAATTACCCAGTCTTGGCTGGGCATGGTGGTTCACGCCTATAATCCCAGCACATTGGGAGGCCAAGATGGGCATATCACCTGAGGTCAGTCAGGAGTTTAAGATCGGCCTGACCAACATGGTGAAATCCCGTTTCTACTAAAAATACAAAGTTAGCCAGACGTGGTGGTACATGCCTGTAATCCCAGCTACTGGGGAGGCTGAGGCGAGAGACTCACTTGGATCTGGAAGGCAGAAGTCGTGGTGAGCCGAGATCACGCCATTGCACTCCAGCCTGGACGACAGAGCAAAATTCCGTCTCAAAAAAAAAAAAAAACGGTCTCAGCTATTTAATTATAGCAACATAAACAAACTAACACAACTCCGTGAGGAACACAGGAAAAGGTGTCACTCTCCCCCTTTTGGGGGTCTTCTGCCTTCCTCGTGGAGTTCCAAGAGTCATAGGAAGGTTTCTCTGGGGTCTAAACCTCGACTTTTTTGCATTGCTTTCCCTGATCGCTTAGGCTTTTGGAAGTACCAGAGATTACTTAGTACCGTGACAGAATACGACCTTTGCGTGTGCCATGTTGACAAGTCACTGATGAGGGCTGCCATTTTGGGGGTGGCTGACAGTGTTTACAATGAGTGTTATTGCTGCAGGGAGGCGACTTATTTCTTTGCATGTTTAGCTAAGAAAAGTGTGATTTGGCCAGGCACAGTGGCTCATGCCTGTAATCCCAGCACTTTGGGAGGCTGAGGCAGGTAGTTCTCTTGAGGCCAGGAGCTCAAGACCAGCCTGGAAAATATGGTGAAACCCCATCTCTGCTGAAAATACAAAAATTAGCCAGACGTGGCGGTGCATGCATGTAATTCCAGCTACTTGGGAGGCTGAGGCAGGAGAATGAGAGTCACTTGAACTCGGAGGGTGGAGGTTGCAGTGAGCTGAGACCGCACCACTGCACTCCAGCCTGGGCGACAGAACGAGACTCTGTCTCAAAAAAAGAAAGAAAAGTGTGATTTAGATACCTAGAGGCTGGAAACACTTGAGACCGAGGTAAGACTCCCGTGGGGAATGGGTGGATCACAAAATGAGTTACTGGCATGGGGCTGCCCACCAGCCTTGGGGGAATGTCCTTGCAGTGGACTACACTGTCCTTTGCACTGTTCGTGGTGCTTCTTTCTTTGGGGGGACCAAGGATCCAGTATAAAAATGGGACCTTGATTTGGGGAGACCTAAGCATGCTGCCTTCCAGCTGCACCTGCTTTTCACATTTGTAAGTACAAGATCCTGGAAGCTGCAAATCCTTCTCTGGTCCTATTTGCTAATGGGCTCCACCCTGCGCTCAGTGATTCAGTTGGAAGATGGAGACTAACTTAGAAGCTAACCATCTACATGAAATTGGTCTCAGGCCATGTGTGGCGGTTCACGCCTGTAATCCCAACACTTTGGGAAGCCAAGGTGGGTGGATCACCTGAGGTCAGGAGTTCAAAACCAGCCTGGCCAACATGGTAAAACCCCATCTCTACTAACAATACAAAAATTAAACAGGCGTGGTGGTGGGCACCTGTAATCCCAGCTACTCGGGAGGCTGAGGCAGGAGAATCTCTTGAACACGAGAGGCGGAGGCTGCAGCGACAGGAGATCATGCCACTGCACTCCAGCCTGGGCAACGAAGGTGAAACAATGTCTCCAAAAAATTAATTAATTAATTAAATTGATATCCTTATAAAGTTCTGTGGTGAATTCCTATGGTTGTGTGTTACTTTGGCATCCATTTTTAACCTTTTTCTAACACATTAAATGAAACTCCGTTAAAAATAAAGTTTAAATTCACACTCCATGCCTTCAGATGTAATATTACTGCCTTGTTGTCTCTCAGACTCTGTAAGGACTTTGGCCATGTGGGACAGATAAACTTTAATTTGTTCCATTTATAAAATTTGAATCCAAACTGTCTTTTTTATTTTATTTTATTTTATTTTATTTTATTTATTTTTTGAGACCAAGTCTTGCTCTGTCACCCAGGCTGGAGTGCAGAGGCATGATATCAGTTCATTGCAACCTCCGCCTCCCAGTTCAAGCAATTCTCCTGTCTCAGCTCTTAAGTAGCTGGAATTACAGGCACCTGCCACCACGTCTGGCTAATTTTTGTATTTTTACAAAATTAGAGATGAGGTTTTACTATGTTGGCCAGGCTGGTCTCGCACTCCTGACCTCAAGTGATCCTCCCACCTCGGCCTCCCAAACTGCTGGGATTACAGACATAAGCCACCATGCCCAGCCCTAACTGTCCTTTCAAACTAGTGAGCTGTGGCCGGTAAAATGGCTAATGTCTGTAATCCCAACACTTTGGAAGGCCAAGGCAGGAGGACAGCCTAAGCCTAGGAGTTCAAGCCCAGCCTGGGCAACAGAGTGAGACCTTATCTCTATATTTTAAAAAATAAGATAAAAGTAAATTAGTGAGTTTTACCTGTTTCATGGCTGAAATTTGTATATCAAAGCTATGAAATCTTTACCTGTCTGTATTTTATGTATACTTATAATAGGTCTGCTTGTAAATTGTCCACATGGTACCAAATGGACTTAGAAAGTGAGTGCTCATAAGTGAGTGCTCATAAGTTACTGAGTCCAAATATGTTTCAAGTTCACATGACTTTAGCAATCCTTCATAAATAAAATTAGTGGCCACACACGGTGGCTCACGCCTGTAATCCCAGCACTTTGAG